TGGGAAGGTGCAAATGGCCTCTCCTTAGTAGATCCTTGGCTTTTTGAGAAGCTTTGCCTCCCTGCCCCAGGAAGGAGGGAAGAAAACTGGCCACTCATCAACATGCTCAGGGAGGAGATTGGCTGGGTCTGTTTTGCTAGGACTCCTGTTTGGCTTCAGTCATGTGATAGGAAGTAGACAACGAGATTGCCTCCCCCAGCTGGAAAAAAAGCTCCTCGCCAAAATAAAAAATAAAAATACTAGAGAGCATGAAAAGAGATTCTGCCAACTTCTTGGAGATGGGAGAGGAGGTTCGCAAGAAGGTTAGGGTGGGGATAGCTGGTTGGATTTGGTTGAGAAAGATCCGGAAACAAGAAGAGGTGCAGAAAAGCTTTTTTTTCTCCCATCTCTCTGCATTGAATCCCAAGAAACATTCCCTCCAAGCCAGGAAGGAGCAAAAGTTCCAGTTGCCCAATAGACCAACATTCAAGTTACTCTTTTTCTTTCTGTGCTATCAAAGGGTTAAAGGAATAGAGTTGGGATTCCTAGAGAGGAAGGGGGAAATGGGGTGGGTAGGAATTGGAGTGTGAGTCCGACTCCAAAAAATATCCCTTCCTGTGTCTCTTTTTTTTTCGTCCGGAGGGAAACGCGCGCTGTGAGTCCTCCAAAGGCTCCCAAGGGACTCCATCCTCATTCAGGGGGTCTCGCCCCGCCTTAGTGCCCCCAGGAAGGGGGTGAGGATGAGCCTGGCAAGGGGTCTCAAGGGAGGCTGGAGGGACCTCCAGGAGAGAGAGAGAGACACGCCCCAGTTAGGCAGCCGGTTTGGAGGGTGGCCCAAGAAGAAGAACACAATTTAGTATTATAGTGATAAGACCAGAGCAAGACTTGAAAATAGCTTGTCAAGAGCAGAAGGGGTCCCAGAAGAGGGTGTGTGGCTGGGGCTGATGACCCCTTGTCAGTGGGGTGAGAGTCAGACCCACGGAAAAGGGAAGGTTGCTGCATTTCAGGAAATGGAAAGATGCTGCTTTCAAGCTGAATCGAGTCTCTCCTTTCTAGCCCATGGTTGGCATTTGACTGCCTTTCCTTCAAGAATCCGACCTCTTTCCATATTTGGCCTTCTCAAGTGTTGGGAGGATGATTAAAAGAACAACATCGTGATCTCTTGCCGTGAGGGAATCGTAGGGCCTGATCATGCAATCGCTCTGAGATGGAAGGTGGTCTTCTTTGACTCCACCAGAGGCTTCCTTGGAGCAGGTGGAGGAGGAAGATTCAGCTGGCCTCAGAGCAGGAGAAGACGCCCACAGGATGCAGAGTTGAAGGAGTGGGGAATTGCGGGAGAGAGTGCCGTGCAGACACTTCAGAAGATCCTCCTGCAAAGAGGCCGAGGACCCCCCCGAGAGGCTTGCACGCGATTCCGTAATCTTTGCCGGCAGTGGCTGAAGCCAGAAAGAAACACAAAAGCTCAGATCCTGGACCTGGTGATCCTGGACCAGTTCCTGCTTGTCCTTCCGCAGGAGCTGGAGAGCTGGGTGCGGGAATGTGGAGCGGAGACCAGTTCCCAGGCGGTGGCCCTGGCCAAAGGCTTCCTCCTGAGTCAGGCCGAGGAGAAGAGGCTGGAAGAGCATAAGGTGAGAGAGAGCATTTCCTTCTGGTTACTCCCTTCTGGGCAACATGTGGCGTCCTGTGCTTGTTTTTCTCAATCCCCACTACCGCCCCCCTGTAACATCTCCACAACCAGTATCAGATCTGTGGCCATTCCACTAACATTCGATGCAGTATCCCTCATTTTCTGCTGGACACCTCAGTGGTTTAGGTCTCTGGCTAAAGGGCCAGAGGTTGGGAGTTTGATTCCCCCCACTGGGCCTCCTTGACAGGGGCTGGACTTGGATGATCTGTTGGGTCACTTCCGATGCTGGAGTTAAGGATGATGATGAAAGACTCAGGAGGAGCATTCCTTTTCTTTTAAAGGAGAATCACGGATTGCATTTTAAAATAGAATGGTGTTCGCTCTCTTTGCATGTTGTTTTCAAAGGAAATACCAGATTTTATGGCTGCCACAGCCACACTATGCCATGTGGCTGCCGTGGCCCGTGTCCCATAAACACCATAGAGGTTGCTCACCTGTCTCTACAGGGTCAAGAATATGATATCCCAAATATGATATCCGTTGCCCCAGGGAGAATGTCCCACCTTCTAGTTCCAGCCCAACACATCCAGATTTCTCCCCAGATGGTTTTTATTCTGTACCTTCTCCTCATTTTATGGCTTATGCCCGCTGTTCTTTCAGGATAAAGGCTTCTCTCTGGAGGCTCTGTCTTATTTTCCTGAGATGCAGAAGGCTCCCTTGGGCAACATGCAGGGTCCCTTGCGAGAGGGGAACCAGGAGGAAACGGACAGAAGTGCCACCTTGCAGGGTAAGGAGTAATGGCATGAGCCTGGGTGTTTTGTGTTTTTTAAGTGGATCACCCTTTTGAAACTATGCAAGCGATGCTTTGGCAGGTGCTACATTTCCTGGAGTCCTGGGGGTGGAGTCTGATGGGAAACTCAGTCCATTACTGACACTAGATACTCATCCAGAGCTGAAACCACCTCCTTGGATTTAGATGGAAAAGAGAAAGAGATGTGGGTGTCGTCCACATACTAATGACAACAAACTACTAATGACATTTTCAAGGGCTGCTTTTCTACACACCTTTAATTGTTTTAACACTCTATATATTCAACATTTCACATCTTGACATTCCCAACCCTGACAGTGGAATGGAGGGATTTCTTGCTCACAGATCTGGCTCGGTTGTTTAAAAACTCAGTTGGATGATCTCTAATCAAGCATCATCTGTCTCTCAACATCTTTCAGCTCTTCTTTCCAGCAGAGCTTCTGTTGCTCAGTGCAGGCCAGGCATGGTCCTGTATCCTGTATCTGGTAAAGATCTAGACATGTTGCTGTAAGCAAAGTAATGCAAAGTGTGCTGCTTATATACTGCCCCATAGCAGTTAAAGCACTCTCTGGACTGTTTACAATGAACTGGGTACTCAATCTATCAACCTGGGAAGGATAGAAGGCAGAGTCCACCTCAAGCTGGCTTTTGTGATCAAACCTGGGTCATGATGAGCAGAGGCTTGACTTCAGTACTGCAGTGTAACCACTGCACCCAAGAGGCTCCTATAACCTAAAAAGGAAAAGAGAGAGAGAGAGAGAGAATACCAATGCAAAGTAGTTCAAATAATTGTTACAATAGTTGTTGTGGGTTTTTGGGGCTCTTTGGACGTGTTCTGAAGGTTGTTCTTCCTAACATTTTGCCAGTCCCTGTGGCCAGCATCTTGCTGTCCTCTGAAGATGCCCATGGCCACAGAGACTGGCGAAACGTTAGGAAGAACAACCTTCAGAACACGGCCAAAGAGCCCGAAAAACCCACAACAGCCATTAGATCCCGGCCGTGAAAGCCTTCGCGAATTGTTAGAATAGTTGTTCAGTTTCGCATGACTGAGTTATTTATATGAAATGTTGATTGACGCACTTGAGGAGATCTATCCATTTCATCTCCTTGAAAAAGGTATTATTACCCAGGCAACTCCTTCCCTATTTTTGCAGATCAAGTGTGCTGAACATGAATTTAACTGATCTCTTGAGATCTGTCTGCTTATATACTTTTGTGCAGTTCGTTGCTATAAAGCTCCATGCGCTATCAAATTACATTGTACCACCGTTAGAAATGTAAATGTGTCCTTGTAAATGTGTCCTCTGTTGTTGCTGTGATACAAAGTTCTGCTTTTCTTCACCTATTTATAACAGTGGTATCCCAGGTTAAGGTACATATATGAGTCCCCATTTCTCTTGAAGGGCTTCCCCTCTAAGTGCCTTCCACATTGTTAGGATTTACACATTGTCTTATAAGGCAATCCTATGCCTTTGATTACTTTACAAGATCACGCTTCTGCCAAGTTTTCCATTTGTAACCTCTATTTATTTATTTATTTATTTATTTATTTATTTATTTATTTATTTATTTATTTATTTATTTATTTATTTATTTATTTATTTATTTATTTATTTATTTA